GCGAAGAAGATTGTGCTGTGTCAGTATAAAGAGCAAATATCAAACATCTCAGATCCTCCCTCAAGTTAGAAACTCCCTTAAGAATACACTAGGATGGTAGGGTTAAGCAAACGACCTCATGTATGTGGTACTATTTGAGTGACCTGGGCATTTACTGGAAGACCATATTGTGTAGTCGTGTACTTAATCAGGTTGATATACAGATTAGCCCAAACTAACAAAGACCATTTTGTTTTCGCGGACCGTAAACAAATTTCACAACCATCAAGAATGGTTAACCAATGATTGTCTTTTAGTCCAATGTCTTCCTGGTTGCAAGCCGAAATTTGCGTTAATTATTTTTCTTTCATTTTTGTAATATCAATTTGTGTTTAATTCTTCATTAATGTCAAAGCGCGAAAACAATTGAATTAAAAAGAAAATGGTAGATGTTCGCTCGTCGGCTTTAGAACAGGATTTTCAGTTCAGTTTTTAACCGCAGAAATTAGGATTTACCTAATCTGTGACAGTGTCTGTTAACTCAATCCGTGCGTTTGTTTTTCTTAACAAAAACCACAGAAAAAATAAGAAAAACTGGTTCCATTTTAATTCATCTACTATTTTGTATTTTGTCGACAAACATACAATGACAAGCACGAACAAAGACAGCGCAAAACTTTTTGCAGATGTGCAGACGGCGTAATGGTTATCGGTTGGGAAAATGGAAATGGTGAGCCTAAGTTCAAATTTTGAAATGAGGATACCCGACAAATAAGAATGACCATTTTAAAATGTCATTCTTTTATTTTTAGATAGACGTTAAGTTCTATTTCAAAGAGTGCTAATTTTATTTTCCCAAACTACAGAAAGTTAATCTGCCTACGAAAGTTCATGCTCTCAGAGAAGCTGCTAGTACTTTAAAAGTGTAAAGTGGAAGGTTATCATCGTAGAAGAAATTATGAATCATTGAAGAATATAAATTCGGATGTGGGTTCTCTGCTAGTTTCTAATAATTTTATTCTTAACGAATGAGATGTCAACTTCGACAAAAGTTGAACGTTAGAATTCATATTAAATCTAAAAACCGGCGGAGAATATATCTTTTCAGTGTTCAAGAGAATCGTTCTCATGAAAATAAAAATAGAAAAGAAAAGTAAAATAAAATTGTCATTATGCAGTGACATATCCGGGTTGTCACTAACAATCTGTTCATTCGACATGTCATTCTTTACTGCCGACTGTGTCATTGTTGGCCTTGGATTTCATTTTTTCCCCATTCTTATCAAAACACCATGTCATTTCTACTATAACAAAATCCAGTTGAAATCTGAAAAAATTCTGTTTCAGAAGTTTCTTCAACGTTCTATCTTTTTACAGACTTTTATTTCTCTAATGTCTACAGTAAAAAAAAAATGACGTCATCAAAATTGCGTTAAACCATTACATTTTTCGTCAGTATATATATATATATATATATATATATATATAATTATATAATATATACAATTATATATATATATATATATATATATATATATATATATATATATATATATATATATATATACGCACACAGACATACACAATTACATATATATATAATATATTATTTTGAATGCGCCTTTTGAGTAGAACAGTCTTGGTAATAAGAGGAATGATATATATTGGACAAAAAATTGTGGCAACCACTGCTGTAGATAGTCAAATAAAAGTCTATAAAAACTGAGAACAAATATTAAAATCTCGAGTATTTGTAATAAATTCATAAAAAGAAACTTATTTCGATGCAAGTCTTAGATGCATGTGGCTCCTGTATACTATCAGATACGCTAATTAAAAATTGAATGAAAAATTAATTTATTTAGAAGAAAAGTCAATTTAAAACTAAAAGCGATAAAGGTGACTAGCAAATATAATCCAACATAAGTCACTAAAAGTCATTTCATCTAAAGTATTTTAAACGTCTCGGTAATCTGAAACGGAAGTGAATGCGGCGAATGTCGAATTCAATTTCCGGTCAATTCTTTTTCGTTCATTTAGAAAAGATGTCTTCGGGAAAGGCAAGAATCTGTTTTCCCCTTCTATGGGTTAAATAGCAGCGCAGACTGGACTCTTTTACCTTTAAGCGGCAACCCATCTCGAAGAAGAAAACCTCCGAATTCAAAACTAAACTGAAGAGGGATGAGCTCCGTCAGGCTTCCTTACCCAGCTGCAATGGTTGTAGTATATGGGATACTCCCATGACCTATTTTCAGTGGTGACCCTAGAGATGAGCAACTGTGGGCCTCACTGTGATATGTGCGCGCGTTCGAAAGGCCGTTATACAGATCATATTCTTAAATAGTCTCGTCTGATTCAGACATTCATATGGATATCATGCATGGCGCCAAACTCATTCAGAAATATCTAAAATCTCTGCTGTGTACAACCGCTTCATCAGATCAATGAAAAAAATGGTTTTGACCGAATGAACCCAGTAGGTCTTACCGAGGACCATACTTCTTCGAACCTCGTGGACTGGCGCTACATAATCACAAAGAACTGTAGCAAATAATAGAAACTACATCACCTGAGGACTTTCAACAGCAGTATCAAATAAAATGGATGACTCCAAGTAAAAATGACATAATCAACACGCTGATACTCCACACTGCTTAAAAAAAGGTTAGAAAGGAAGACCCCGCCTCATTAATACTTGGAACAGAAATAATAATTAGTGGTACTGAGAAACCTTTTTTCCTGAAAAATGTTTTTGAAAGAAAGATTCTATAAATTTCAATCGAAAGTAATACTGGCTGCTCAGTCAATGAAGGCCGAATGTTTCCTTGTAAAGATTGATTAATTTTTACTGCTTATCAACACTTTCTGTTTTATTTAAAACTGAAACATATTTTGGAATATAAGAATATTTTTTTGGAAGGGAATATTGCATTAATATATTTTTGAGAATAATAATTATTTCCCAGATACAAATCATACGATAGCTGAAAGGAGAAGATGGATTGGCACCTTTCCCAAAGGTATTTGTAAGAAAATGAAAGCAAAGAACCCGACTGGAATTCGAACTTAGTTCTCCGCTTCCTGATCCTGTCCTTATAAGTAAATGGCTAATATTACCATTATCATTAGTCTGTACGTGTTATAATTTTGACGGCACACCAACTTCATTACAAAAACAATTTTATCTCCTAATCCTTTTATGGACTTGAAATTGTTTTCTTTCTGATTTGTATTTTTTTTTTTTTCGCATTGAGAAGAACTAGGATTTTTGACATTGTCGTTTTTGTTCTTCCCGGTGTGTTTACACCGTTTCTGTTTACTTTGATTACTATCCTCATTCCTCGGGAATCATTAATTGCAGCCCATAGCGTCGTAAATGTAAAAGAGCGCGTAGAAATGACACGTCTTCGTCATTGCTCGGCTAGAACGAATCATTGCTGACACATCCGGTAATTATTGCCGACATGGCTTTTGAACCACTGGCGCTGCGATATACAGGCGCTGTTTTCAAAGATAAGACACCTTTTTTTTTTCCTTCACTACAGACATCCTCATAATCTGTTAATGTTTACTAAACTTTGCAGAGTTATATAAAGTGTATCAGGTTAGAGATGATTATATTACGCCAAACGTCTAAAAGGAAAAATATGAGACTAGATCATGTTTAATGTAGCGTCTTCACACTCGTACCTATGTGTTTTGGAAAAATTTGCTGTATGTGAGGCCTGAATCACAAAGGCAGCAGAACAACACTTAAACCTCAAAGACAAAACAAGGTCGAACTTACCCTGAAGAAAGATATTTTGTTTTGTTTATAACGGCTATAGCGTTTTCCAACAAATATTGCCTTTTGTGCATATATTTATAGAGTTGTATTTACGGGACAAGCGAGAAGAAAGGATTAAACATCAACTGCAAGAAGACAATATATGGTTCTTAGTAAAAGGATGAGGCAAAGTGAGAATTTTAAATCGGAGATAACAAAATCAAACAAATGCGGAAATTTGAGTGTCTGGGAAGTTTTTTTTATCACAGGACGAAATGTGTGACACTGAAATTCGAAGGCGTATAGCGAAAGCCAAGGAAGCATTCCAAATGCGAAGCGGAATACTAAGAAATAGAAATATTCTGCTAGAAACAAAGAAAAGAGTACTAAACTGTTGCATGATAGCTGTACTCCTGGATGGCAGTGAGTTCTAATCAATCTTCTCAAAAGATGAAGAAGAGATTTGAAGCAATAGAAATGTGTTTCTACAGAAAGATGCTGAGGATACCATGAAGCGAACATATGAGCAACGATAAAATTTTAGAGAAAATGGAAATAAAAAGGAAACTAATACTTAACACCAGGAAGAGACAATTGAAATTTGGGGGGCATATAATGAGTAAGGAGGGTTTGGAAAATCTGATACTCACAAGATTGAGGGCAAAAAGGAAAGAGAAATACAACGCATAAAATAATTAGTGATCTGGAGTAAATCAATGGCGGAACAGGGTTTAGGAGAAATAACAGAAAAACAAAGTTTAATAAGAGCTACAAGGGAAGTTGTGGAGAGCCATGATTGCCTACGTCCTGGACATAACACATAAAGAAGATTCATGGGGTAAATGCATGGTTTCAAATGCATTGCATTGATGTTTTATACAATATTCTTATAGACTCAAAAGCATCAAATTCATCCTAACGTTTATAACATGTTACGTTCTTTTGAGCTTAATTTGAGTCTTTCAATACAAATTTGAGATAGCCTGGTTGATTCGTTTATATGACTTATCAACCCTTTACCGGCTATTTAAAACTAAAACTATTTTTAGATTTTAAGAATTTTTTGGTAGAGGGTGGAGAGATAATATTTTTTTTGGTGATACATGCCTATAGCTGTGATTTAAAACAATAGATTCCAACCTTTTCCGGGGGTATTTGCGCGTAAGTGAATATAACGAACCCAACTGGAATTGGAACTCGGCTCTCCGATTAACAATTCCGAGCCATTATCCATTACAACACCCACCCAGCCAAGCTTACAGCAACTGGTATTCCCAAGCGGTCACCCATCTTGGTACTGATCAGGCTTGACGTTGTTTAACTTCGGTAATCATACGGAAACCGGTCTTTAGATTTGATGAGGCTGTAAGAAGAATTTGAGATAGGATCTAAGATACTGTAGCAGAACAGACTCGCAGTACGTGGGAAAATTCCATGGTTTTGCTATTTGAATTTTCTGATTAACCATAATTCTTAAGTTAATGATAAAGCCTCTTTCAAGATCCGTGATTTTAAAATACGTGTACGTAGTTGTTCATGTATTTCACATGTATTCACTTGAACACGTGTTACTTGCTCACGGAATTCGACCATGAATCATGTCTCATTGGACGACAAAATTAATGCTCACACAGAGAGACACACGCACACAGTCATTATAGTTTGATGTTAATTTTCCAGTGTTTAAAAAATTTTACAAGAATCGTTTCAAAACTAGTGTTAAAACAACGCTTGTTTCTTCATTAACATCGGTAATTTCAGTAATTACTTAGGTAATTATTTAGATAATTATTAATTAGGTAATTATTTAGGTAATTTCAGGAAATTTCTGATGAGATTTCAGGAGAAATTGGAGCATTGGAAAAACCGTTAAAGGCTATAACATTCCGATGTTTATTATTACCCCCTATATATATATATATATATATATATATATATATATATATATATATATGTGTTTATGTGTATATGTCTGTGTGCCTGTGCGTGTGTGTGTGTGTGTGTGTGTGTGTGTGTGTGTGTGTGTTTAAAATAGGATATATAATCCCGAAAATGTTTTAAGGAAATTTGACAGATGAAAAACGTTTCATTGACATTAGATTTGATTATGCTTCATCAGATCCAAAAACGATATATATATATATATATATATATATATATATATATATATATATATATGCGTATATAATTGTGTATTTAGGTAGTAATCCCTATTTATACATGTTTCGTTAAAGACGACTGACAAGTTTCTAGTTTTAAGCTTTTTATTTAATTTTTCTTGTGTTCGTACAAAGTCTGTAAAAACTGCCCAAATTTTCTGTATATATATACACATGTACTCTCTCTCCCCTTCTCTCCCTCTCTCTCTCTCTCTCTCTATATATATATATATATATATATATATATATATATATATATATATATATATCAGACTAATAGTGTGTAAGTGAATGAACTTTATTATAACCAAATATTAAGGTTAAAAAAACTTTAAGCCTTTAAAATTTAATTTTGACGTCCGATGTACCTGGATGTTAATGTATTTCGTGGGACATTTTCTTTACTTTTTGACAATCTATTTTGTGAAATCTTTCAGTTTTTTTTTTGTTATTTTGTTTCCTGTTGATTGAATCTTTTATTGTTTTTAAGGTAACTGTGACTAACTTTGTATTAAGTTGGAATAAATTCTTTGTAGTTTTAGTCGCTATTCAGTTTGGTATGGAGTTTTAAGTGCATAGTTTTATCAAGCTTATTTTTTTATTTTCTTTATTTGTTTTGGTCGAGTTATATATGAACTAATTAGGATATTATAGATAGATATCGTATATTTCTTTATCATGTAAACACTTAGCTTTAGGACTTGTAAGTAGAAACCTTTAATTATTCCGAGTGTTATTTTATTGCTAGCAGAAGTTTATGAGAAACTAAATGTCTGCCAAAACATCACTACAAAATGATCTCAGATACTTCCACTTGCATCACAATAACAAAATAAATTTCAAAATAATTATAGTTTTCTATGTCGATGGGACATCTAGGAATTTAAAAAATATATTGCATGAACATAAGAGGTGTTTTACAAAACAATACACTCAATGTATTAACCATTCATCGTAAAACGTCTGACCATAATTTCTACTTGATTAAAAAAGACAGTAACTTATTAAGTCGAAAGTGTATTGAAAATGCACTAATTCTCTTACAATAAATTTACGACCAGTTTCCTGCAACATATCTGCCATTCTCAATAAAGTAATACTGATCGAATGTGACATAATTGCAAACAATAACGATAGAAATAAAAGCGATAAAAAAGTTAAATGAGAACGAGGCTAATTTAACATCGCCTTACCTCCAACGTAAATATTAAAGTCTGGGCGTTTCCGTATATTTAATTATTTATTATAAGATATAAAACTGTAAACTACATTTGATTGATTTTTCTCCCCATTTCTTTTCCCACTTTTTATATGACTCATTTTTCTATGTGCCGCGTCCCTTCAGGACAACGGGGATGATGGCTCTCCATATCTTCCTATCCTTTGTAAAACTTAGCAGATTTTCTCCATTTGCTATGGCTCCCGTACGCCATTCTACTATCTCTTCATACAAACTGTGAGGGAAGTGGTTGGCTGCTGCCTTCTTCTTTTTCTCATGCCCTTAATAGATACCGTGCGGGTAAAGTTCCCCAATTTAAGCCATCATTTCCTGATTCTGAGTAAAAAATCTTCCTTCCGTTGCTGTTTTTCTTTAAGACTTCCTTGTTGATTACTCGTTCCTAATATCCTTCTGTAGAACCACATTTTTGTTGCCTCTAGTTTTCGCTACATCCATGGGGAGATGGTCCAGCATTCACTGCCATATATCATATATCAACCGATTACTTAAAAAAAAAAAAATCGTTTATTAGTCAGAAGGCCGTCTCAGAACGAAACGCTTCACTTTTTTCCCAGTTGTCATACCTTTCACCACTATATATATATATATATGTGTGTGTGTGTGTGTGTGTGTGTGTGTGTGTACGTACAGCCAAGTTTCATTAAAAAGAACTGATAAGGTCTGTTTAATTTTTTATTATATTTTTCCAATTTTTCACTAAGGTGTTGTATTTTGAACTTGAAGTTGTGGATCAACTGCCCGAATTGTCAAAACAATAACAAAATATAAATTTTTGATAGTTTATCCACAACTTTGAGCACAAAGATGTTGATGTTGCTACATACCCTTACTTCTTGCCTATCTCACACTGCGAATTTTTCTAAGCTCTATACTAAACATTAAATCTGTTACGAAAAAAGAACTAAACAAAATGAACACAAAACGATCAGCTTTAAAAAAAGACTCTTAACTGGAAAAAACCGAATGAAAAAAGAATGTTAACAACAGATACTTTTTCACACCAAACCCAGTTCTGCGGAATCAGAATCAACGTTGAGTTTAAGCAAGCGAATGAGCCAATTGGAGTAAAGTGCCTATTCGTGACAGCTCTCACTCTGGCCAGTACAAAATGGCCACAAACTACATGAAAACTGCCGTAGAAGGATGAAAAAATCGATTATTTCCACAATCGATGGGAGTTGGGAAATGCAAAGTCGGTCTTGGCTTTCCCGCTAACTTGGAGCATGTGCATGTAAATTTTGGTGCAAATCCGTCGAAAATTGCGACCCTGCACTCGTTACACACACACACACACACACACACACACACACACACACACACACACATCCTGCCTTACATATATATATATATATATATATATATATATATATATATATATATATATGAGATCTGGGTTCGAATCTCACCACGGTTGATTTGTCAGGAAGTAGACTTCCTGATGTTATCAGTCTGGAGGGGGCAATCCTAGTGCCTGAAAAAAAATACTATTCTACGTTGATCCAACCCTTGTGAGTGAAATTAGGTAGACGGAACCTTTGCTAGCACAAAGTCACATGTCATCGTGACCGAGGCTTTGATCACGGTAGATAACAGGCTATCTCTCAGAAACTGTAACTAACGTATAAACTACAGGTTGGCTGTGTGAGTGTTGAAGAAACACAAATGTGCCCGGGCAAGCGTCTGCAACAGGGATTGACTAGCCGGTCTAAAAGACGAGTATGCTCGAATACGTGTGGTCAGCTATACATAAATACATACATTAATATATATATGTATATATATATAATATAAAAGGCTCAAACACTGATATTCAATGGTTATTCTTTTTGATTTCGTAGGTCTAATGAATTGGATCGTGATTACGATTCCAATCTAATAAATTATAACCAAGGAATATTAGAATGTTGTTAGAGCCATTTATATTACATTCTTGCTCTTTCCTGGACATTGAACTGTACCTCGATTCTATCCTCTTGGATATATATATATATATATATATATATATATGTGTGTGTGTGTGTGTGTGTGTGTGTGTGTGTGTGTGTGTGTGTGTGTGTATATATATATATATATATATATATTGACCTCTAATATTTTCAATATTTATATATATATATGTATGTACGTATATATATATATATATATATATATATATATATATATATATATATATATATATAAGTGCGCAGGTATGCAGAAAATAGAAAAAAAGAACACGTTGGGTGCATAATCCGGGTTCCTTAGTATTTTTTTGTTTTTATTTTTTAAGAAGACAGTGCTCCATACAGAAGTAGAGCTTAATTATAATATTTTTTGTTTAAAAATATGATTCCTTCGCTGCATAAGAGTTCTCATGTTTCAAAAACGAGAGCCGAAATCATCCAAATAATTATTAAAATTAAGTTGAATTTAGGTGTTTAGTCCCGTTTCATCTTCAAGCGAAATTTTAGGAATAAGCTATTTCTTGGTTTACGTGGTGTTTTAGGCATGGTCCGTTGTGAAAATCATTATTGTGGGAGTGTCTAGGTTTGTTTTCTTCATTTATCACTTCAATTGGCTTTCTTTCCAGAAAAAAAAAGTATAATTCTTATTTTATTTTTTTAAATAGTTTATTCCCTTGAGGCCTGTGACATTTATTGCAGGCTTGCTCACCTTTCTCCCGCCCTAATAAATAAGAATAACTTACCATATCGCCCAACTCTCTCGTCAGATGCAATCTTTCTCTGTAATTAGAGGATGATTTATTTACTCGCTAATTATTGAGTGATGGGCAACGCGCGTGCCAATATCGTGTTTCCCGCCATTTAAGTGTGCTGCTCTCAGATTTTAACTTTTTGTCAGTGACGCCATTTTGAAACTATTTGTCCGTAACACTCATGGTTAATTTTCGCTTAATTCTGCTTTCCAAATATTTTACACGCAAAATTGCAATATGCATCAATTTGAAAAAG